GGGTATATTTAGAGCATTTTGCTTGATAAGAATCACATTTATCATGCTCAAATTTGTCGTCACCCAGCGTGGGACCCAAATTAACATGCACTGTTTAGATTTCAGACAACAGTATATCATAGAAATTGGCATCATTTAGGTGGTGGCGAGGAACGATTATGTGGTAGCAAATCATTCCTCGCCACTTGTCCTGTGAACCTCTGCAAGGTACCTCACCTTTCTGAGCCTTGGTGTGAAATTAATTGACACTTTCTTTTTGTAAATGAGAGGTTGTTGATAAAATAGGTGTGAGGAAAAAAAAATCAATTCTTGTGTCTGTGCAGTTTGGGTGAAACCAGGAAGCTCAGTGTCAACCTGACTGACATGGAGGCTTTGACCCTTAGCCCTGTGCCACTGCCTCAAAGAATGTTTTGACCATCCTGCATGGTTTTTAGGTATTTTTTTTTTTTAATTTTTATTGTTGGTTGTTCAAAACATTACATAGTGCTTGACAAATCATATTTCACACTTTGATTCAAGTGGGTTATGAACTCCCATTTTTACCCCGTATACAGATTGCAGCATCACATCGGTTACACATCCACTGTTTTACATATTGCTATACTAGTAGAGGATAGGAAAGGGAGCAGAATACAACAGACACTGGTTTTTAGGTATTTTTGAGAGTCAAAAAGTGCTTGCTAAAATAATTGATGAGAATATGGGATTTTCACCAAATTAGTGTCAGGAGTCGGTCCTATTTACATGAAAGATTCTCACTTTTTATGCATTTTATGTAAGTTTTGCTCATTAAGTCCAGGGAGGGCACAGTGAGGGGAGCGGTCAGTCCCTTGTCTAGGTGTCTTTACAAACAGGGGGAGCCCGAGGGAGTACATCAGATGAGCTATGAAGAGTAGCTGAGAACTGTTGAATCTCCAGGATTCTTTGGTCTTTGTTTGCAACTGATTGCTAACTTCTAACCTCTTAGCATTCTTCCCAGAGATGCTCAGGAATAATATTTTGATGTATGATCATGTCCCTTACCTGCTTTGAGGCCCTTGGTGGCTGCTGCTTTCTGCCACATTCTGCTTTGGCATTCTGCACCCTCTGCCAGGCCTCCTCCACTGGCCTCCTTCCCTAGACACAGCCCAGGCTCTGGTGCAGCTGGCCTGCGCATTGTCTCTCTCTGAAGTCAGACGTTTGAGTCTTTCACACAGAATATTCTCCCTTCCCAGCCTATTAAAGTCCTGGCCATCAAGGTTTTAGCTCAAAGGCCTCTTTGTTCATGAAGCCTCTCGAGGTCTTCCCCCTATCCCACACAGCGACCCTTTCTCTTATTGGAGTACCCTGTGGGGAGAACAGGGCGGCTTGACTTGGGTTCAAATCCTGCCCATTTGCTTACCTGAGGAATGATATGTAATTGACTCAGAGAACATGGTGCAGAGGGTCCCTGACTCTGATGAGACTGAATAGCCCGAGCACCTAATATAGGGCCTGACCTTAGGAACTTCTCTCTAAACAGTGGTGTCTCCTTAATGGTGGTTTTTCCATTTGCATAGAGTTTGTATTTTTAATGAAATATAATCTTCCAGAAAATGGCACCGTTTTTTGTTTCTCCAGAGGTGTCTAGCACAAGACTTTGTACATAAGTAAGTGTTGTTGCTGATTTCTATAGAATCAAGTTGGTCTGGAGTCAACTCCAGAAATGGAATGAAATCACAGAGGGCTTGTGTTCAAAAGGGCCTTCTTCCCTTGCTCATTCTTGTGTTTCCGTATTCCTCCTCTTCTTTTAGCTTCCATTTTTACTTCCTTTAGTACTGAGAGAGCACCAGGCTCACTTCAAAGAGTTGACTTCAAAGCCCCCTCGGCCCAGAAATACTCTCCAGTGAAGCCTACGGGAGCTGGCGTCAATGGAGGACCCTGTGGCGGTTGCATTCAAGGGTTTTTTCAAACTTCTATTTTTATAATCTCTTTAATGGAGAAGGGGGGGAGGAGGGTTACTGAAACATCTGCTTCTTTAAAACATCAAATATAAGGCAGTGCAATTTAAAAAAAAATTAAGATATCTTAAAAAAAAAGTGATTTTATAATTGGTAAAAAAAGAACAAGTCTTTTTCTTAAAAAAAAATTACTTGTGCTGTTCTGCCCTAGTTACAAGAGCTTGGGATAGAAACACAGCCCTAACTTGTGGGCAGCATTTCCCAAGATGGCCAAGTGGGGTTGCGTATTACAGAGCACAAGAAGAGTGCTGGGCCTGCTGAGCCCTGTCACCAGCTTTCCTCCGGGCTGAGGGTGTGGGCAGAACAGAGAGAGGGAGATTAAAGACCAGTGGTCTCTTTCCATGGACCCTTTGATGATCTTGTTTGTTGACTTTTTGAGGCTTGATGTAAGTGACTCTTTCAGGAATGAGAAGTGGATCCCTCCTAGTTTGTATGTTGAGTCCCCAAATCCCACTCTTGAGTCTCAGGCCCACGCTGGCCCCTCTGCTCCCCAGCTTTACCCAGCATGCTGTCCTCCCCAT